GCGCGGGGGCGGACCGACGGGAGCATCCGGCCCTGGCTCTCGGCAGCTTCCCCGAAAGTTGTCAGGGACGCGGAGGCCACATACCTGTAGTGATGAAAAGTTCAGCCAAACTGAGAAAACTTTGGCGACCTTGCCTCTGTGCTGCGGACAGAACCAGGACGCACCACCCTTGAGCGGCAGCCCTGGGGCTCCTCCTCATTCTGAGACTAGGTGTTTGCTAAGTGACTTGGCAATCCTTGTCTCAGCCTCCAGAGTAGCTGGGATTACAGGTGTGCGCAACTGCCCCGGGCCACTGTTTAAAAATCGAGGTCATCTCAGCTGATCCTGGATTTAAGGTGTCTCCTTTGAGAGAAGCCTGGGACCGGGAGGAGGCCACGCTCGTGCGCGACAGGGCATGTGGACCGAGGGCGGTGACCGGGCACCTGCACTGGGTCAGAACATTGAAAACACTGGCCCGCTGGACCCGGCGCCCGAGCTGCTGGCGCTGTGCGGTGGGAGGGCGAACACTGACCGAGTGTGGGGAGCTGGCTCTCAGAGCAGCGGGAGGCTTGCACCCTGGCAGTGTAGACTGCAGGGGCTGGGCTGAGGGGAAGGCAGAGAGCAGAGGCTTGCAGCGTTCCTGGGTAACAGATCCTTGCTGACGCTGGTAGAGGGGCTGGGGCCTCCCGCAGCTGAGCAGGAGAGTGTGGTGCCTGACCTCCCGTGAACTTCCCTGGGCCTGGCGTCAGTCCGAGAGGCTGCGTGGACACAGGGTTTGGCTGGGGACCCAGCTGTTTCTTCTCCGGGACGCTTGGGGGTTCCAGCCCTGCCTCTCTGTGGCATGACCTCTGGTGCGGTCGGTGACACAGCCAAGAGAGGAAGATGGGTTCAGAGGCCCTCCCTGGACCTGGGTGGCTGGCCAGTTGGTGTGGACGCTGACCCCATCCCAGCCTGGGACAGCCAAACTGAGGGCCACCGCTCCACAGGAAGTCTCGGGGACTCACAGTCAGGGCCTCAGGGCTGGGCACCAGGTACTGTGCCCTCCCCTGGCTCCAGGCAACACACCCGCCCGCTGGCCCCTGGGAGCTCTTTGGTTACCTGGGTGTAATTCAACCTGTTGACTCCAGTTTCCTGGGGAGCAGTGGAGCCCCCGACCCTCTGTCTTTCCTGGCCTCTTCTTCCCTCTTCCCAAGGGCCTACCCTCCCCGGTCTGCCCTCCCATCCCTTCCCTCCTCCCCCACCCCCTCCTCCTGCCCGGAAGTGGCTGTGGGTCCCCCCAGGGGCAAGTCCAGCAGTGCTGTGGGGAAAGCTTGTGCCCTCAGAATCAAATGGAACCATGGGCCTGGTGATATTGTGTCCAGGGCCCAGCCATCCCTGGGGCCCGGTGTGAGGTGGACAAGAGTGGTGAGTTGTTCGCCCATCCCCTTCCTGCCCCCAGCTGCCAGGTATGGGGTGGGAGCTTGGACTCTGGATCCCTGACTGATGAGCCTGTGTCCCTGATGGCCAGCCTAGGACTCTGCAGGCTGTGGGGAGGATGAGCCGTGTAGACAGTGTGGGTCTGTGTGGGTGCTAGGTGATGTTCCAGCAGGAAAGGGTGGCAGCAATGCTGCCCCCACCCCAGGGTGCCGGTCCAGGGAGGGAGTTGGAGGCTGGGCTCAGCAGGTGCCTGGGTGCTGCTTGCTCTGGATTTGCTGTCTCGGCTGGAGACTGGGCAGAGGCCTGTGTATGGTTCCCGGGGCAGCCCTTGTTCCCTGCTGGGAGCTCCAGAGTGTTCCGTCTGGAGCTGGTTTCTGCTGCAGTTAGAGTTGGGAGGGTTGGTTCTGCTCAGTGTCTGGTAAAAACTAGTCGCACCTCATGAGTCCCTTCCCTTCCTGGGGACTTGGAGAGGTGATGTCCTCCTACTGACTGTCCTGGGAGTGTTGGATGCCCTCACCAAGGAAGGGCCAGCTGCACAGGTGCCTGCGAACCTCACCAGCTACTGACATCCACATTCAGATCGCGTTTTAAGATGAAAGGATGAAAGGTAGTGACTTGGTTTTCAAAAACAATTTCCTGGAATTGTGTCACGGTGGAGACACTGAGGTCCATCAAGTCCTCCAAGGGTTTAAAAAGCACTACCTCTGAGCCAGGCATGGTGGAGTAATACCTGTCATCCTAGGTCCCTGGGAGGCTGAGGCAGGAGGGTTGCAAATTCAAGCCTAGACTGAGAAACTTAAGGAGACTGTCTCAAAATAAAATAAAAATGTCTGGGATGTAATCTTGGGCTTGGATCAGTGGGCTCCTGTCCCCACCTGGGTCACCTTTGTGAAGCATAGGAATGTGGCACAGTCACCTGGCACCATCCAGTGCATCCCCCAGGCTCAGGTGGGGTTTCTCGAGATTTTGTTTGTGGGGGGCCATCGTGTTGTATTTTGAGAACTCTTCATTCATTAGGCTGGTCATTGGGTGGGTCAGTAGCCCGTGTGCAGCCGGCTTCAGGGGTAACCCGTAACAGCCCGGTCCTCTGCTTCAGGGACATCCTGATCACTGGCATGGACACCGCGATGACGTTCCACGCGCTCTGTGGGGAAGTGCGTGACATGTGTGGGCTGCATCCACAGCACCCGCTCACCCTCAAGTGGGTGGACAGCGAAGGTACCTGACCCCTTGGCGGGGCTGTGGGGCTGTGGGTGGAGGGCGGCTTCCCCAGGAGGACAGCTGGAAAGGGATGGTGGGAGCAGTAGGTGGTGAGGCCGGGCAACATCCCCGCAGTGTGGGCTCTGCCTGTGTGTGCAGAGGCAGCAGGTCCTCACTGACACCTGCCCTCCTGGGGGCACTTTGGAAAAGCACCTCCCTGCTCCTGTGGGGCAGTGCCAGTCCAGCCCAGCCCAGCCAGCCGCCCTTGCCTGGCCCTCCCTCCCTCCCCTGGCATCTCCTGGTCAGTTTTTCTGTCTCTCTCTCTCTCCATCTGTCTCCCTCCTTCTCCTCAATCCCGGACACATGTCTGAAAGGTGGTCCCACATGCTGGCCACGCTCTGTCAGGCACCCAGTCTAGCAGGAGCCTCCCCCTGGGGCCGTGCAAAGTTCTGGGTCCCCGTCCAGCCCAGAGACCAAGAGCCTCTCCTGTGGCCTGGTCTGGCTGGGGAGAAGGGTCTGAGCTCCCGGGGTTCCTGAGCTGGCCACAAGCTGGCTTCTGGGCCCTGGCTGGGTTGTCCAGTCATAGACAGTGACGCCTGCCTGCCGCGACCCCTCTTGCCCTGCCCAGGTGACCCCTGCACCGTGTCCTCCCAGATGGAGCTAGAGGAGGCCTTCCGCCTGGCCTGCCAGCAGAGGGACGATGGACTCACCATCCATGGTGAGTGGTGGCGGGTGGGCACCAGGACACCTGGGCCAGCGCATCTTCTACAGACCACAACTGGGGGACAAGGCCACCTGGGGGACAGCAGTTTAAAATCTTATGATGCCAGAGGATGTAAAGATTACCCTGTATTTGTGGTACTGGGATTGAACCCAGCACCTTCACACTGGGCTGCAACTCCAGCTCTTTTGTGTTTTTTATTTTGAGACAGGGTCTCAGTAAGTCTCTTAACTGACCCAGCCCGGGCTGGAGCTTGTGATCCCCCTGCCTCAGCCTCCCAGAGTGCTGGGGTGACATGCATGCACCACCATGCTCGACTGAAGGATGTTGGTATGACACTGTTTGGGCTGATTTTTCTCTCTGGCCCATTAGTAACCCACGTAACACCCATGGTGCACAGAGCCAGTGGGCCAAGCACAGTCTGGATTCTTGTGGGTCCTTGCGGCTCTGAGTTGCCTCTTCTCCAGATGGTCTCCTCCCCACAGCTCACCTGGTTCTGCCCATCTTGGTGCTCTGAGGGGTTGGTAGCCAGTGAGGCCCAGCACGTGCAGGCGAGTCTGTGTCAGCGGGTGATTGAGCCTCCTGGTTCTTTGGGTTCTGTGCCACGGGCCAGGTGGGGGATCTGCCCTCTGGGTTAAGACGCCCCACTGTGCAACCCTTTTGTAGGTATAGCTATAGACTTAAGCCCTAATCTAGGTCACTTACATTTTAAGATGGCAAATGCATGTATTTGGCCTCCTGTACATGGAAGCTGTGGTACCTTGAAAATTCACGCACAAGAAACACAAGAAAATACCTGTTTTAACCAAGTCATAGTACTTCCTACGCTTCTGTTTTAGTCATCCGTAGAAGTCCAGGGTATATCTTGAAACAGTTAATTTTGAACTGTGGTTCATACAGAGACATGGAGTCTACTGTGCTTTTAGAAGTCAGTTTCAAATGTGAGCACAGCCCCTTCCCATATTCTTTCACTAGTGAAATTGGTAGTTTTACCCTGACAGCCTCATTCTAACCCTGACCACCTTTTCCCTGGATTTTCAGTGGCTCTTACAGAATGGGTTTGGCAGGAGACAACTTGGTCTCTGAGGCTCTTGCTAAGGAATCTCCCCAGGGGAGGTCGTCATGGGTGCTGTACCGAGTGCTTTGTGTGGAAGGACCTCTGCTGGGCCTGACGCAGGGCAGGACGTTAGGAAGACAGTGGAAGGGGTAGATGGCAGTGGGCACTGACGCCCTTTCTTCCCTTCTTTCTGCCCAGTTTTCCCAAGCATCCCGGAGCAGCCTGGCATGCCTTGTCCTGGAGAAGACAGTGAGTGCTGCGATTTTCCTTCACCTCACATCCAGCGGGCCGGGGAGAAGCGCTGACCTGTTGTCGGAGTGTGGGCGGTGGGTGTTGTTTGGGAACGAAGCCCAGGAATGGCCTCTCCCGCCAGGTCCATGGCCAGCCCCTGAGACTGTGAGTGGGTTTCCACAGTGGCTGGTGCCCTTGGGCCACTTCCTGGGTAGGGTGGGCTGGTCCTTTAGCAGCAGAGGGAAAGCTCCAAGAAGGACAGAGGGGTCAGGTGGGGATGACGTCGCTGCGCCCGTGCTGCCCCCACTCCTGTGCAGTCTGCAGGTGGAGATGTGGCCAGTGGGTCTGGGTGAGTGGGCTCCAAGGGACTCCTGTCCCTGAGTCTGACTGTCCTGGAACCGGGGCTGAGGGAGGTGTGGTCACCAGTGGAGCTTTCTGGCAGCTGGGGTCGGAGGGAAAAGGGCAGGAGGCCATGTGGGCCCTTGTCTGTGTGGCTTTGCCCTGAGGGTATGGGAGGGTGGAGAGGGTCAGTGGGCAAGTGGGGCCCAGAGAGATGGGCAGTAGTGCCCTGACATGGGTCTGGCCTCAGCCCTGCAGCCTGCCAGGCTTCGGAGCAGTGGCTGGCACACAGAGTTTCTGGTCGTCTTCCCGTGCTGATGTCTTCTATGGCATAGTGCCTGTGTCCCGTGGGCAGGACAGGTTCTGGGAAAGGGTGTCTTTGTGGGGGAAGGCGAGTGGCTATATCCTTCAGCCTTCGGGGTGCCGGTGGGCAGGAAGCCCCCCACTGTGTCTGCTGAAGGCTGGATGAATTTTTTTCATATTTTTTTTCAGTACCGGGGGTTGAACCCAGGACCATTGCATTGAGTTACATCTCAGCCCAGTGTTATTCTTTCTTTTGAGATAGGGTCTCCTTAGTTGCCAGGTTTCCCTGGAATTTGTGGCCTTCTCGCCTCCAGTGTGCTGTGTTAGAGGCAACTAACACCAGGCCATCTGCCACCTGGGTGAAGAAGTCTGCGGGCTTTGTCAGCTCTACCCTGAGCCACGTGGCCCCAGTGTCCTCGCCACAGGGGGAGCTCGGGGCATTTGTGGAACCCTCCCAGCCGGCCTGGTATGGGGAGGGGGCCCAGAGTTGCCAAGCCTGGGCAGGACTGTGGGGCTGAGGGTCCTGGATGTGGGGTGGGGTCACCTGAGGCTTTGTGACTGCGGTTTTGTTGGAACTTTCCCTAGAGCCTGAGCAGGGGCCGGGGCAGCAGGTGCATCCCGGCCTCTGGGTGCCAGGAGTCAGCAGTGGATGCTGTGGCCTGACAGGAACAGAGACTGTGACCTAGGTGCCTGGTGGGCATTTGTTTGTGATTTGCTGAGGGTTGGAGACAGGGCCAGCCCAGCAGAAACCGCGCCCCACTGGGGCCCCATGAAGAGGACTGGGTGGGCGGAGAACAGATGGACAGGTGAGCCCAACAGGTGTGGTTTCGAGGCCAACACCTGCCTGTGGCATAGTGCCTGGCGCACCTCTCACGTGCTGCCTGGATCTAGCTGCTTGATGTTTTCTTTCTCGTCTTCCCCTTGCTTCCTTTCTGCTCCGCTCCTTGTCTTCTGAGGCCGGCCTTCCTGCATGCCAGTGTGGGCCCAGTTCCCCACCTGGCTGGCACTCAGGCCCGTGCCACTGCCCGGGGCTCCTGTTGTTTTCAGTGGCAAAGTGCATCCCTCAAGGCAGCCCCGACTGAGCCCATGGCAGCCACTTAGGCCCAATGACTGCGGTGGCCGAGTCCCATGGCTGGCCCCGTGACGCTTCCCGTGCTGTGTGGCCCCTCGGGCCTGGCTTCCTGCACTCGGCAGCCTCCTCCAGGCCTTTCCTGCTGTAGCATCAGCTGCCGTTCTCTCTTTGTTTCATTTTTTCCATGTCTGTACTTTCGTACTCAGTGATTTCTCCCGGGGCCTCTCACCTGTGCGCGTCCGAGTCCGTCTGTCCCCTCCCTACTGTCCTGCTCCGCTCCCTCAGCTCCTGTGCCCCTTCTCCCTTACAGGAGCCCTAGTTGTTTTATCTTCATTCTTTTTCTACTCCCTTTTCCCTCTCCTCTCTCTGTCTCATAATCCCTTTCCTGTTCCTATTACATCTTTTATTTTGTTCTCTATGATGCAGAGCTTTGGGTTTCTCATGTAAGAAAGTCATGTAACCGTGAAGCTGGTGTGTCTGGCTTGTTTCACTTAACGTTACGGTCTCAGTGGCACCATTTCCCTCACGTCTGTCCTCAGGGCAGAGTAGGGCTCCACTGCGTGTTAAGACAGATGCCCGTGTCTAATGGCCTGCCTGTGTGACAGCTATGCAGGTTTACGGCAGAGTTGCGCTGTTTGGTCTTGCGACCCATCTGTTTTTTTGTATAGTCCTCTACATCTTGTCTGTCTATAGAGGATCAGTGTCTTTTTCTTTGGTCTAATATGCCGTATTTGTATAGCACTGTAATTCTTGCCGATTGCACTATACAGTACAGTGCTATAGTTTTATGTGCTGTTATGCAGTGTATGCATGGAAGAGTTATGCACATAAAGCTGGGTGTGAGGGTGCACACCTGTAATCTCAACACTCAGGAGGCTGAGGCAGGAGGATTGCTGGGAGTTGGAGGCCAGCCTGGGCTACATAGTGATTTCAAGGCTAGCCTGAACTTCATAGTGAGACTGTACAAAAAAAAAGTTATGTAAATGCTGGGGATTAAGCTCAGTGGTTCCGTCGCCTGCCTTGAAAGTGCAAGGTCTTGAGTTCGATCCCTGGTAACCCCCCAAAAAAAGTTATGTAAGTTGGCGTTTCCTTCGACCATTTCTTTGTTGTGAATACTGTAAGGTAACACTCTATGCAGTTTCTTTTTGGTGACCTGTCCATCCAGTGACCTAGTTGCAGGAGTGTGGCCCGTCCTCAGTGAGGGTGTCTGTACCACGTCTTCTTTACTCACTCGTGTGTCGGTGGGCGTGCAGGCTCTCCTGAGACTTTGCCGTCAGGAGTTGTGCTGCTGTAAATGCAGTTGTGCCTGCAACGCACACCTGTGGCTCGTTCAGAAAGAGCCCTGGAAGGGGAAGGGCTGGGTCAGACGGGGTTTGTAGTTTCAGTTTTCTGAGGACTCTCCATACTGATTTCCACAGTGGTTGTCCTGGTTTACACTCCCAACAGCAGTGCAGGACTTCTTTTTCTCTGTCTCCTTGCCAGCATTTGTTATTATTGGATTTGACGATGGCCATTCTTTCTCTAGAGTAAGATGGTATCTCAGTGTTGTTTTTAATTTGAATTTCTCTAATGACCAGTGATGTTGAACATTTATTTCTTCAGTATTTATTGGCCATTTGTACTTCTTCTGAGAAGTGTCTGTTCATTTCAGTTGCCCTTTCTTTTTCTCACTAAGTTTATTGGTACTTTTTAGGTATACAGTATAGTTACACTCATCACTGGGATCTTGTACCTTTACATGGCGTATCTTGGGTCTTATTTTTTCCCCATTCCGGGCCTTTCCTTCACCCCCTCTACCTTTCCCTGTTTGTTTGTTTTAGTTTGGTTTTGATTTTTTGAGACAGGGTCTCACTATGTAGTTGAGACTGACCTGGAACTCACTATGTAGCCCAGGATGGCCTTGAACTCGCAGCAATCCTCCTGCCTCAGCCTCCCAAGTGCTGGGATTACAGGCTTGTGCCACCATGCCTGGCTCACCCTTCCCTGTTTACAAAGATTTTGTTTCCATTGTTTTCCTTTTCTCATATTAGTTGCCTTTTTTTTTTTGGTGCCAGTTATTGAACTTGGGCCCTTGTGCTTGCTAGGCAGGTGGTGGAACCACTAAGCCAAATCTCCGGCCCAGTTGCCCATTTTTTGAATGGGTCTTTTATTTACTGGGTCTGACTTTTTTAGTTTTTTATGTATTCTAGATATGTCCTCTGAGGTGTAGCTGGCAACAATTTTTTCCCATTCTGTAGGTTGTCTATTTACTCTCTTGATTTTTTTTAATTCACTAAGTTTATTGGTACATTTTAGGTATATAATATGATGACATTCATTATTGGGTGTTTGTACCTGTACATGATATATCTTGGTTCCTATTTTTTCCCTATTCCTCTGCCTTCCCTTCAATCCTTCCACCCACAATTACTCTTGAATTCCTGAAAGCTCTAGTATTTTTAAAATTGCTATTTGCTTTTTTTGTTGTTGTTTATTGGTACTTGTTTCCTTTGCTGTCCAGAAGCTTTTTAATTTGGTGAGATCCCATTTGTTGATTCTCTGTATTGTTTCTTGTGTCCTTGGGATTCTTTTTTTTTTTTTTTTTTTTTTTTTTTTTTGGACTTGCGCTTGCAAGGCAGGCCACGGAACCGCTGAGCTAAATTCCCGGCCCTCCTTGGGATTCTTTTGAGAAGTTCCTTGCCTACACCTGTGTCTTCAAGAGTTTCATTTCCAGCACATTGTTTCTGTTTTAACATTTAGATCTTTGATCTATTTTGAGTTTAGCTTAGTACTGTTTTAGTTACTTTCCTTGTTGCTCGGACAAAATATCCAACACCCACAGTTAGGGAGGGGAGCTTTATTTGGTTCACAGTTTGCAGAGGTTCAGTCCATAGCTGGCTGGCTCCAAGGCAGGGAGGCACGGCAGAGGGGCGTCATGTGGACGGTACATGGTGCCAAACAGTGGTGGCAGGGCAGGGTAAGCAGAAGGGAGCAAGCAACAGCAAGGACAATTGACCCAGTTGACTGGCAGGGACCCTCTTTGTATCCCTTTTATCTTATCCAGGCATTTAGGGCGGTTAAGACAGGATTTCACACCCAGGGTGGGGTACTTTTAATCCCACCCAGAACTGTGCCAAACCCAGCAGTGGATTCATTTAGCAATCACACACCCTAGATGCAGCCACCTCTGAAAAGCTCTACCAAGGAGTACATGAGGCTTTGGGGGGACATCTAGACACAGCCATAAGAAGTCCAAAGTGAGATATATGAGTCTAGACACAGTTTTCCCAGCACCATTATGAAAGAGACTGTCTTTCCTCCGTGT